GTTAGCATGAAAATTGGAAAAGTGATAAACTGAAGAAATAAAAAGAAGATAGATTATAACGTGATTTTGTCATATAGCATTGAGAAAATCTTGTACTCCCTCACCAATGATTCGATTCGAGGAAAGATTTAATTTGATGCCTGTCTAGATAAAAAAAAGGGGGAAAAAAATTAGATGAGAAAAACAAAATTGTTGATTGTTCAATTTTCTTCTAGGATATTCGATAAGGATAGGACTCCTTTACCACCGATTTCAGTTCAGGAGAGATCAACATAAATATTTGTTTCGTTGGAAATGATCTTATTTTTAGTGACATTTTTCTTCTCATTCATACTGATAAATAAATTAAGTATTTTTATTAAATACAAAAACAAAATCTATTTAACAGATAAAAACTTCTCACACATGATAATATTGACTTCTTTCTAAAGAAATATTTTTCTTTTTTTTTGAAAAATATTTGATCTTTAAATAAGATAATAAATTTATTTTATTTAAATAATATTTATTTTGGCATAATTAATTCGTAAATCATCTACTGTAAAATTGTATGTTACTCTTTCTAATGATTTATAATTGATATAAAGAAGAATATTATTATGAAAATATATTTTTCAATTAAATAAAAATTCTTCTATATAGTCATCATGAATTTTTGCAATATCAAGTGTAATAAGATTGTTTATGTTTTTGTAATTGATGATTAATCAAAGTTAAATTTATCATAAATGAAAATGATTGAGAAATTCGAATAAAAAATTCATGTTCATCATATAATGATACTAGACAAACACATTGATATAATTCACCTGAAAAAATGATTTGTTATCTTTTGATAATATTGCATTTCAGATGGATATGAATAAACAGGATTTACGAAAATTGGTCGAAAATTCGAAATAAAAACAAAAAGAAATTTTTAACAAAAACGACCGCAGTATGAAAAATAAAAAAATATTAGTATATAAGGCGTCGCCTATACTTGAAATTCTCGTGGCAATACCCTGCACAAGTAAAGTGGATGCCAACCTTTCTCCAGAACAATTGACTTTAAGCAAAAGAAAAATTTTAAAATAATGACTGTGGGTGTTGCAATGAGTCTTTTTGGACCTAATCATATGATCACACCCACAATTACATCTACCTCTACTTCCGCCCACACCCTATAGCACTCTCAAAATGCATTTTTCCTAATTTCAGACTACTGTCCGAATTTATTTTGATATAATTTTATGAAAATTCGCCAATCTAAAAATCTTGATTTTGAAAAAAAAATCAAGTTCATATGTTGCATGCATCAGTAAGACATTTGTTTCATTGTAATGAGTTGCATTTTGATAATGGCGTCTTTCGTTTTGTTTTTGTAATGCTTTAGCTCATTCGTCTCAGTTGAAACTTTTATTATTTTTTTATTATGAACTTTTCGATTATTTTTTGCGTCGAACAATTTTCGCTTTCTTCGAATAAACATGATATTGACCCAATTGTTTTTCAAGAAAATAGTCCACATAAGATATCTTTCTAGTATATTGAAAATCTATAAATGTGCGTTGAATATTTTCTTTCAATGCTAAATTTATCTGCTCATTAATAAACATAAGTGAATGAATATGAAATGCAAATATATTTATTGCGGCATATGCGAGAGTATATTTTTCTTTAAATGATTTTTATCAATAAATGTATTCTTAATATAGATCGTAAGATATAAAACAAGTTTTTCTAAATCTGACATTCGATATAGAAGTGACAGAATTAATTCATTATAATATGATATTTTCCAACAGAGACCGAAACCGAATCCAGTCGAGTTTGTCCCGAAGGACTCGGTTTTTTTTTGAAAATCTTCGATAAATCCTTGAAAAGTTTTTTGTTTGAGAATATTTTGATCGTTTGGTTGATTGATATGATACAAGACTCATTCATCGCAAACCAGTTAGTCTCTTCCGCTATGCATTGCACCTATCTGAACTATGAGTAGATCTCAATGAATTAACTTTACACTGAAAGCAAGTTGAATGGAGATTTTCTTAACTCATTTCGATCTCTTTTCTCAAGCACATGATAGAACAAAACACTTTAATTTGAGATTTTTACCTAGAACAATCAGAAAAAAAATTAAATTTATTTTCTTTTAAATCTAATTTTATTTTCAGTTAATTCTGTTGAAAAAACAATGTTAGCTAAATCAACAATGAATATATGAAGTTAATTGAAACGACTATCAAGAAGATAAAGACATTGTGTGATGATACTTCGAGATGGAACATCAAATAATCAATGAACAATATCTTCATATGATGATTCAGAAAACATTAAATATGTTAAATTGATAAACACATACATATACAATTATTAATCGATATTTCTATAAATAATATTTTTATAACTTCATATTGAAATATAAATTAGAAAAATTTTTTCATATATTCAATGACCTATTCAACTGTATTAATAATTTCAACAAAATATACGTAATCATTTTAAGAAAATTTTCATTTATTTAGAATTAAAAAAAAATCTATTCAGATTTTCTTACTGATAAAAAGATGTTTAGCTTTTTGTTCTTTCGTATTATATAGGTCGAGTCCATATAAGTTAGAATAATTTGCATCACGTAGAATATGTTTTACAGATGATAATTCAAGATAAAATTATTTGATTTTCATAGATATATCAGGTAGAATTTATAAATAAAATCGATAAAGTATGACATGAGAAAAACCTTTATTAGATAACCTTTTGACAACGTTCAGACTACTAATGAATATTGGATCACGGATAATTCTATTCAATTGTTTATTAAAACCATAAAAAGAATAAAGTACATCAAGATTGTCCAATTTTTGCAAAAGTAAAAATCAAAAGAATTTCATCGGATAAATTATTCAATTCGATACATGACTCAATAAATAAAACTAAAGTAAGAAACATGTTTGATGTTGTTACTTCGAAATATCAATCATATTTCTGAATTAATATTGTAATTCACCATTTTTTTTTCAGAATATATTTATTCATTCTATTTGATCGATGTCGTTAAGCAGAACAAGAATAACGAATTTTTCTCAATAATCGAAACTGTCAATGATTTAATGAGTATATAGTTGGAAGAATGTTGTTATTTGTAAAAGATGAACAGTCCTCAATTTATTCTTATGTGATGATCTTTTCTTTTGTTTCTCTGTAATAATTCATAAATATATTTAATACAGAAAAAAAAATATAAAGTAAATTATATTCTATGTACTATCTATGACAAAGTACAGGATGAATATATATAAACGGTCATATTCTTTCCATGTATGAAGTATTTTAAGAATATTTCAATATGTTACACATATCTGATTAGAACAACATTTGTTTTTAAAAATATTTTCGTACTATTATACCTATGAGATTTATCATAAAATTTAGTTAATCAACGTTGTTTTATTGCATATCATTGATTATATTTGTAATGAACTTTACAAATCTTCAAAGAAAAAGTTTTTGTAGAAAATTTTAATGATATTTTTCATACTTCAAGAAATGAACAATACATTCGAGATGTTTAAATCATTGATTCCAATAAGTAAATGTATCTGATTTAATGTAAAATTGACTTTTCAAAATTGAAATTAATTGTTATATAGAACAAATTGATATTAAAAAGAGAAAAAAAACCATATCAACATGAAATATATTTAAAGTAATTGGAACAGCATTTGTTAATCGAGAAGCCATTGATATTAAATTTTTCATAAATACAACATGAAACAAGTTTAGTGATTGATTTATTGCAGTTGTTACGTAAAAGAAAAAAATTAAATCAAAGGAGACAAAGAGATAGTAATCGTAAAAATTTTTTTTTCATGCAAGAAATATTTCAAATCAAAGAAAAATACAGAAAAGTAAGGAATAATATTTACGTTGGACAACAGTACGAATCTACTATTTTTGATCTCGTCTTTTTAGTTTAAAAATGCTCTCCCCATCAATAAACATCAATCCTATAATTAGCATCAATGTTTAATTCCTAACTAACATCCTATTTTTGTTCTCTCTGTCTCTCGCTGGTCCTCGTATATCTGTTAGTATTCTATAGCATTAAACTGACACTTGTTCAAGCAACTGCTCGAGCCGAATGAAATTGTTAATTTATTCTCAAATTAAAGAACGATGAATTCGCATTTAATTTCCATAATGTATGAGCTAGTTCAATAGTTTTACTTTGACTTTGATATGAATACAATAACACAAAAAATAGTTTGTTTTGAATCCAGGAAGTTTATAGTCATGGTAACATTTAAAGAATGTTTCAGAAATTTTTCTTTCAATTACATATGAAATTGAGACTTGAAAATGATGGACGAGATTCGAATGAAGAAGACATGAATCAACGAAAAAAAAATTGATAAATGGATGTGAATTTGATGATCTACCTATTTCTTTTATAAACACTCACACTTCATGATGAATTCTCACTTATTCAGACAAGACTCTAACTGCAAATTAATTATCATTTCTTCAATGTAATCGAAGTATCGCTAATAATTCAAAAGAGGAACAATATTTTTTTTTTAATATTCTTTATTAAATAAAAGAAATTTTCGATTATTCAATTAACATACAATTAAACATAAAGAAATGGATAATATTTTCAACTAAAAAAAACAATACAATAGAAAAAAAGATTTAAAAAAATGTTGTTTGGTGTTATGCTGGTACATATCTTCACTTAGTTGATATATTTCATTATCATCTGATCGATTAGCAATAAAATTTTCATCAAAATCAGAAAATCATTTGTAAAGTTCATTATTAACCATAACCAATTCTTTCCAGATTTTTTGTTCAAAAAAAGGTTGAAAATTTTCAAATATCATATTATTTTTATGTATAATACGTAAAAATTTTAAATATGCTTCTTCTGCCGTCCAACACATATCACAATTTTCGTTATATGGATGTTTACTTTTCACACAAAGTGCATTTTTATGATCAACAAAATGAATTCTTCAACCTTGAGCAGCAGTAAAATCAAAACCATCCTTGCCAGCAACAATTGCAAACTCTGGATGATCCCATTTATAATTGATTTTATTCGAATCTTCATTATTACCCCAACGATAACATCGCCATAAATAACGATTACCACCATAAATATTAATTAAATTTTCTGGAATAATAGAATAAAGTGCTGTATTTCGATCATCTACTTCTGAATCACGTCGAAATTTACTTTCCGAATATTTTTCTGGAATATATTTCTTGTTAATGTTAATAATAGTTGTATGTGCATATTCATGTGTAAATATACGAGTACCACCACAATAGAATTCACCTTGTACATTTTCTAATGGTATAGAAAAACAGATTGGACCATACCGATTGCTGTCTTTAAAAGTATTTGAACGATCTGTATTAAAATGAGTAACTGAATGTCCAAGCATAGACTTTTTATCAGGTATAATACCCCACCAACTTAAAGCCGGTAATTTTTCATAATTACTATGTTTTTTTCCCTTAAAATGTATTTTGGATCCATTATCAGCTGCTGTATGTAACATTTCTATTAGATTGCCTTTTCGATGTGTACAATGTGCTATTCTCGTGAATGGAACTTCACGTGAACCATACGATGGTCTATGACTAGTAATATCGAATTTAATTTGAACATTGTTCATTTCGTTCTTTATTCACAGATTAAATTTAATGTAGAATATATAATCTAAAAGTGTAATGAAAAACAATAGAAAAAGATATTGTGAGTATGAATACGAGTCGTAAAAGAGAAATCAACTCAAGATCGATGTAGATTGTTATTATATAATATTAAAATTTTTATTTTTTCCTATATACATATATATCTTTATTTCAAAACTTACAATTAAAATAAACAAAATTAAGAATTGTAATTATATGTAATATTTGTATCATAATTATTTGAATAAGAGATATAATGGCATGATGCTTTAGTGATTGAAATTGTCTTCGTAAAATATTTTGTAGCAATATGTAGATTTTTTCTTTTAATTTTATTTTTAATGCTAATCATATGATAGTGAAACGGAAAAAAAAAAAAAGTTCATCTTTCTATACTCATTTCACTATCATTATCGTTTGAAAAAGGTCAAAAAGAAACGAAAAGAAGAAAATTTATACATTCCTATACAATGTCTGAAGAAGAAGACAACTTTGATAAACGAAGCATCACGTCTTTTGTGCATTCTTTCATTTATCTTATGTTTTGATATAATTTATTTTAATTTATAATCTATCAAATCGTTTAAATTAACTATCGAACATCTCGTATTAATACAATAATTTATTGTTAAATAATTAAAATTGAATAAATCTAACTGTATTCAATGTAAAGAAATTTAGTCTTAATTAACTAATGAGACTTTTATTTGAGAATATCGTTGTAAAGAATTTTGCTTACGATATTTCAATACAAATGTAATATCTAGTTGTTTATATAGAGTGAGTTTTTTTTTCTTTCAGTAACTTTTAACAAATGTTTATTTATTTCTCGTATCTTCATTGGCAGAGCTACTTTTGTTTTTCTTTAGTCTATTCATAAGAAAAAGATTAATGCGAATGTTTGATTTTGTGCAATATACATGTTTCATCAACATTCCATCACGTCTAGTTCTCTTTATACTAAAATCAATTTGTATTATCAATAATTACATGAATCATCCTGAAACTTGCGAAATAACCATATCATATTCTTCTATAGTTTGTTTCCTAAACATCATTGTACAAGTACAAAACTTTTGATTAATATTACGCAATTATATTAAAATGTGGATTCGAAATTGCATTGAATTTATTTCCATCTAATTAAGTAACAAAGAACAATAATATTCATTAAAAAAAAATGAGTATTTTTACTCATCCGTATCTAACATTGTGATTATTGTTTTACATTACATATCTGTCTTTATTGTAACATCAGTTGAAAAGAAAACTTAAAATATTCGTTTCTTGTAGACATTTTTCAACTATTTAATTGATGAAATACATTAGGGTGGTAATAAAATATTTAAAATATTCATTAATAATTATACCACAGATAAATACTCTCTATTATAAAAGACTCAAAATGCACATTCAAAATAGTTCAATATTTTTTTTCATTAAAGGTCACGGTGCTGTTTATCTATTAACTATTTTCTCTTACTATGACTCATAAAATAAAAGAAAAATATCATCTAGTGACTTTCATTGTATTCTGATCATGTGGAAGTGAATAAAATTGAAATAAATAACAGAACAAATATCAATGAATCGATGTCATCATTAATATTTCATTAAGAAAAAAAAAAAGAAACTTTATTCAATAAAAATATCGAACATAGCTTGTTATTAATATTATATACAATTACAGACTTACATTGACGAGGACTATTAAATTAATAACTGATGAAAGAATCTCAATCGTTATGTACATATAATTATTTGACTTTTTTTTTTCTTTTTTATTATTCATTTTTTCGAAGAAAGAAGGTAACGTTCGATTTTGCATATGTACTTTCTTGACTGTTTAAGTTATTTAACTCTGATTTAAATATTGCATAATCACAGAATGAGAATAACTTATGCAGCATATATTTTATTTCAAAATATTTTTCGGTCTTATTCAATATGACATTTCTCTTTTCAATTTGTTATAGAATTCAAGTTGAAATCTGTACATAACTAAATGAAGTAGTTAGCTAACGAGGGAGCCTTTTCAACTGTCCAATCCCTTTTGAGTTCGGCCTTAAGGCAATAGATAGACCCCAGTGAGGTATGAAAAACCCCAAAAGATTAAATGCCCATAGACCTTCTGTCCAAAGATATAGGAATTTTACTGGAATTTTAGCCTATGTCATGGTATCTACCCAAAAATCGAATGATAATATTTCGACCTGAGATTTTGCCCACAGACAGGTCTATTTATAAGTGGAATGTCCTGAAAATTTCAGCTGAAGAGAACGTTTCTTTCCCGAGATATCGAAGTCCCAAAAAACCGAAAATTCTAGCATCTTTTGTAATATATGAGTCATTTTTGGAACTTCAATATCTCGGGAAGGAAACGTTCTTTTCAGCTGAAAGTTTCAGAATATTCCACTTATAAATAGACCTGTCTGTGTGCAAAATCACAGGTCGAAATATTGTCATTCGATTTTTGGGTATATACCATGACATAGGCTAAAATTCCAGTAAAATTCCTATAACTTTGGACAGAAGGCCTATGGGCATTTAATCTTCTGGGGCTTTTCATACCTCACTGGGATCTATCTATTGCTTTAAGTCCGAACTCAAAAGGGATTGGACAGTTGAAAAGGTTCCCTCGTAAGAGTAAAAATGAAAGTAAAAAGAAAGCTAGCTGAGACTGGACAAAATTATCTCCAGTACTTATTCTTCTAGTACAATCGAAATATGTTATGTACTGTAAAACAATATATTCGACTTTTTCAATATAAACAATAAATTTTGATTATATTTCAACAATCGTATTTCAAATTTGCAAATTTATTTTTACTATTGCTTCATATTAACAAAAATACAGATTAGTATATTTATATCTATGAAAAACGATCAAACAATCAAAGCAAGGATGGTAGTTAATTGCAAACAAAACAATCAGACAGTCAACTTATGTTTAATGGCAACATCATTAATAAAACATTTTTCAAAATTTCGAGTGATTCACTCATTTTTTGTATTTAGTATTAAAAGCATGATACTAATTGTATTATATATATCTAGAACATGTTTTAGTAGAATGAAGGAAAATTTTTATCATATCCTGTAAAAATTGTGATGTTTTAATACATCTGTTGCATGATCAATTTTTCCAAAAGAATCAAGCGATTTATATGAATCTTTGACACTGGATGGAAAGTAAAAATGATGAAAATATTATAATCTAATTCACGTAGAATTAATGAAACTGTTCAATAAGTAACATTTTTTTATATCATGATCCGTTAATGAACTAAGTAACACCATGATGAGGAGCGGCAATACGCTCATAATAATAAAAAAACAATCGTAAGTAATATGTTATTAAACAAATATTTTGATTCGTATTAATTGATGATATAATAACATGATGATAAATTATAATCCTAATTGTATGAAGATACTAACTTTACTTCATCGATGTCATTATGGATTAACCTAATTTTATTTTGACCATACATGCATATATTGTCTTTAACATTCGTGTCCGATGCTACCAAGCGTAATGATAATATAATTGGGATCGATTTCAACTTTAGTAATGATCATATTTGCACTATATGTAAGGCACTTTTGCAAATAATATGTGACTTTTTCAGAAAAATCTGCAGTTTTTTTTTCGAAAAATATATGAATATAGGAAAATAAGAGAGTATAAATCATTATAGGATCAATTTAAGAACTATAGAAAAATATAAGGCTACTACGAGGCAAATAATTATTTATTAAATATTAATTGGAAATATCATTCATTGAGTGTTCTACCGTATGAGTAAAGATAGAATTTAAACAATAATCAGTACGATCAATCAAATCATGGTTCATGTTTAAAATATTCAAATAAAAACATTCTAATTTCAAAAATTAATAATCGATTTTAGGTACACGAAGCACTTAAACAAAAGTACAAAATTAGACGAAAAAATAAAAAAATTCCTTCGCTACCGGGTAACGCATAAATCGTCATTTTTATATTGAACCAATATAACCAAATGATTATGTATATATGAGAAGAATAAATAAGTAAATGAAAAGTTCAATTTGTCAATGTTCAAAGATCATTTCACATATTCAGATATTGTTTGAAATCATTTCGACAGTTTTGCGTTTCGCAGCATAGTAGGTAACAAAACAACCAATTGAGAAGAGCATGCATAGAACCATAATAGAGGCGGGGAAGAGGACTAGAGCACAAAATAATTGTATTCGTGCCCAGTCTGCTTTCTCCGACATCATTGAATGCCAAGCAGTAACGAACGTGCCAAAAGCAGTCCAGAAGCCACACAAAGAACCAAATATAAGCCAAAATTGAGAACAACTGTCAGACAAAATATTCAAAAATGAATCAAGAGCAGTATTGCCATCCTTTTTATGGACGTAAAAATTGTTCTTGCATAAAGATGCTTTCATATCAATTAATCAAAAGAAAGGCGCCCGATGTGATTTGGATTGATCTTCAACTAACGAATAGAGAGATTTTTCAATTTCTTCGTTTAAGATTCGTCGATAATTCATCTACATATGTCATGCTTCATGATGTTATTCATCAGGCTATTGTTCAAAACTGAAACGACCGTTATTCGTAATACGCTTATAAGCTCCCTCCAACCAAAAAAATACAGTTCAATAAAAATTGTTCGTTGCTACGAGCGGCTTTTCTCCTGTAAACTCTTTTGTCAATAATCTGTTCACTTCTTATGTCACCGTTCACCGTTTTATTTTGATATTTTTCTCTTCTCTCAATGCCATAGATTGATGGAACTTCGAGAAGAACAAAGACATGGATACTCAACATATTATCATCATGACAAAATTTTATTATTCAGCATCTTGTGATATTCAGTTTTCTTGCTCTTTCTCTATTAACTGTACCCATTTCTTTTTGTTCTGCTGGATTGATGCACTTGCTAGTTATTCTATGTGATATCATTATTCAACTTCATTGTTTTTTTCTAATCTATTATATTATTTAAGGAAAAAATATCTGTACAACAAACAGGTGAGTGGCTAGTCAAATTTATCACTCGGTCATCGAATGCCCTGCAAAAAACTCTGACTCGCCTCCTCACATGACGAGGAACGACGAGCTGAGAAAATTCGGAGACCTTCCAACGTCTAGCTGGAATGCACCACCACAAACTATTTTACTATCATACATTGCAAAAGTCATTTAGATGATAGTATTTCGTGACTAGAGGACATGCTTTCAAAATAGAAGTTTCAGATTATTAGAAACACGATTGATCATATATGATATCAGTTCCTTCGTTATGAGTAATTGTGGCAAATGTCATCAAAAAAAATCAATGATCGTGAATCAAACAATCATTGCTTTTGCTTTAGAGTACCACTCTTTTAAATATCGTTTTTTTCTGCAGTATAAAACGTGTTATTTATCGCCTATAGTTGTACTACAGAGTTTGTTTTCATCAAATTTATAGATGAGTAAAATATTTCGATTCTTTGTACAACATTTGAATTCTGGATCTTTTTTTTTGTATGGTTTCATCCATATTCTTTGTGATTGAATCATATGGTTAATAATGAAGATAAGAATCAAATGAAACTTTTACCGTGCTAGAACAATCTATATTACTTATTTTGTCACGACTTAGAAAACTCGAATATTTACTTCGAACATCAAAATCAAATGATAATCCTCCAATTCATTTTACTTTCATAACACATTATAATACAATTGCATGACATTTACATTCGATATGGTTTTATGAAACTTGTAAACATACTTGTACGGTGTAAATGATTCAATTAATATGATATTGAGTCATGTTCAACAAAAACTTGCGATCTCGAATCTATTTCGTTTAATATAACGATATCGGTTGAACTCTTCGAGTTACTTTAATTGAAGTAATGATGCATTAAGAGGTTTTTATTCATTTCTACTAAAGCAAGATTGACTCTCGAAAATTGATACAGTGTCTCTATTCAAATAAAAAGTAAATCTGATTTACATACATTGAAAGAAAATTTTAACTGTTTTATTCCAGTCAAATATTATTGAAGTAACTATTATTTGTTTTTTCCATATTAACTCAAAATCAGATATATCAAAAAAAAATGAATTGTTGAAATAAAAACATATGTGGCTTTTTTGTAAATAATATAGTTCATATTTATTTTCATGGAATGATGGTACTTGATTACATTTAAATAAGTGTTGATAATATTCATAATGATATTTATATAGAATGACTATAAAAAAATTCTATCGAATAATTTTCAAAAAAAAAAAGTTTGATAAACCTGATTGTTTAATTGTATTAAATAAAGATTGAAGATGTTCAAAAGACTTTCCAGATGAAATTACTCATTATTATAGAACAGAGATGTCCACAGGGTGAATTTTTACATCCTGTCCTCCCCTACTTGTCTGAATCGAACAGGATAGGGCAGAGTATCCTGTAGAATCGATATGCTCTCTGTTTCAATAGCAACAACATTTGTGTATTAAATCATAGAAAATTGATTTATTTAAATCTATTTCACAACATCAATGACTAACAATTTAACTAACAAAATGTATGAATATTACCAAACGTAAGACAACTAAATGGCATAATATACGCAACCTAGGCTCACAAACTTTACTATAGATCTTCTTCTGAAAAAAAAGTTCAACAAAAAGAACGCCAAAAAATATATGACAGCTACTATCAATAAGAAAAAACAAAAAAAAAATACATAATTTATTTTTATATAAATCTTTTCCTATTGATTGTCTAAATAAAATGTTTTCTAATTTATTTGGTTGAAGATGAGGTCTCCTTTCATTTAAGATCCAACTAGCAGCAGAAAATTGTCTTTCTACGCTAGTTGTCGTTGCAAGAATAGACAAAACTGGTACCACCTTCTGTAACTTATTTTCGGTTTTTGACTTGCAAAAAAAAAAAAGAACATTCTTTTCAAAAATGAAAACTCAGAAAGTCAATGTTCAATTTTGCAGAGTATGAAGGTGTCACCCTGCCCGTGAATATCTCTGCTATAGAACAATGTAGTATCAATAGTTATATAATAGATTTATTTTAACTGCAGGACCCGCACTGCTTGACGTACCTTGCTGTTGCCAATGTGATCAAATAGAGTTTAGAATGTAGTCTATTTTAGAAAACACCTCATCATTTTCTTTGCTTATTCATCTTCAACTATCTGTAATTTGTATAATTATATTATATATAGTTGTCAGTGATCGAACATTCATACACTTATGAACATGATACCACTAAGTGTACACAGCGGACGATTTGCAAGAAAATTGGAAGAGGATAGAATGAACGCATGATTAGTTAGAGATAGAGAGAAAGCGACAGCAACATGATTGCTTTTGTTTTTTTTATGAATGATTGTCATGATGACTCATTCGACCGACATGATGATGAACTATCAGATTATATAAGTTCATAAATTTGCTTCATGTTCAATCATTTAAAAAAAAAAAGTTTAACAATATGTGTACTCCTGATAGTGCAAGTAACACTCAATCAGTTGTAACTGATTATTTCGCTTGGCGTTTAAAAAATAAAACAATAACAAATAATCGTTTATTTAATATTATACGTAAAATTGCTGTTGATTGTGAAGCATCTTATTGTATTCAACAAGCAGCATTTAAATTTCATTTTTCATCATCAATAATTGATCTTCAAAATATTCATCGTGAAATAGCGAACGAATTATTTAACGATGGAATAATAACATGGACTCGAATTATAACATTTATTTCATTTTCAGCTATACTAGTTGAATATCTTATACAAGAAAAAAAGCAAAAACACAATATGGATTTTTTAATTTCATCTATTACTGATTGGACAACGAATTTTATTGATAATAATCTTCGTACATGGCTTGAAAGTCAAAACTATTGGGTAAGTTATTTTAACAATAATACAATTTTCGATTTGAACGTTTTTTTCAGGCTGGATTTTTGAAGATATACGATCAAACTCCACGACAACGAAATCCTACTACTAGTGGGTTATATTTTACAATTCTTGAGGCTATAGGTAAATCTATTTAATGCTCGAAGATATGTTTAATATAGCATGTTCATTTGTTTTTTGGCATGCTAACAATTGACACAATGTTGATGAGACGATCATAAATGTTCATATTATGTTTTTTTCACATTTTCTAATTGTAATGTGACTCATTTTACTTTTTCATTAATTCACATATGTATACATAAATAAATTTCATATTAATTCTTGACTTTTAACTTGATATGACCACGACAAAAAGTTTATATTATCTTTATCGAATAATTGTGTTATTATTATTCAACATAAAAAAAAAAAAATTGGACTGTTGAAAAAAAATTATTTTCGAAAGAAATTAATGAAGATCTTCAAGATGGTGATATTAAAAAGAATTATAAAATTGAGTTAAATAACGAAGGGTGTGGGATACGGATGTGCATGTGAGTTCTCTAGACCACACCTACATCCTCACACACCCACACCCACACCCTAAAACAACAATGAGTGACACTATAAGATTCTTTTGCTCTATTTTCGCTTCAATATATAGCATTAACCTTACCAAAAATGAATCATATTTTTCTTTGTTCGTAATGTAGGCTTTTCTTCTTTTTTTGCAATACAGTCACTCAAGGAGTAAGAAGAAAGTAAGTTTTTTTCAAAGAAAAATTCTCAATTACTTTTGTTCTAAGTGATTGAGCGAAGACCTAATCCTTTTTTGTTAAAACCATTGATTTTCAGAACGAAAACAACGAGCAATGAAGAAAAACAATATACCAATACTGAAGATATTAATCCTATTATGTAAGATATTTATTTCAAAAATTTATCATGAGGTATATGAAAATCTTGAATCTTACTCATCTATATATTTAATACATTTGAACTGAACTCCGAAAGTTCCTTTTCTTTTTAATACTGAAATGGATGCTAAAATTTATCATGTAACTTGAAACAGACTTGCCTTATGTCCGGTTGTGAAATAAAAAGTCTTAAATTATTCTCATGAGAATAGTTTTACCACAAGCTTATTATTTTGTGAATAATACAAAATAATTCTTTAGTAAACGAAAAGATATAATCTAATATTTCTTATCTATTCTATTGTAATCATGCAAATTTATCTCTCATCCAAAAATTGCGATCGTAGCATTGATCAACGTCGATTATCAGATATTAACGTTTGTTTTGTATATTCAAATCCGTTTCACTGTATTTTCATTTTTCTTAATTATTTATATGCATGTACATTGGATGATTTAATCAATTTTGATATAGTTAGACAAGGCAGTTTTGGTCTTGTATGGAAAATGCAACAGAAGCAAAGTGAAACTCTAATGGCAGTTTAAATAACTAAAAACATTCATTAATGGATTAGACATATTCATATGTTTTTAAATTCTATGGAACTCTTATCAAAGCGATTACTATTTTAAATAGAATTTATTAATAAAGAATTTTTCAACTAATTTAGCACTATTGTTGGATATGTATGGAATTAATGAATACATCACTCGGAAATCTGTTTAAATTTGCTTATCATAAACTTGATCAGTTTATACTTGGAGATATTCTTGCCTATATAGCACTAGTTTCAACAACAACAATAACACTTTTTAATTCTGGAACTACTAATCAAATATTTGATATAACAAGTGCTCTTAACTATGATTTGAATTCTCATGTATATTTATCAGTAAAAAATAATTTTAGTATTCTTCTAGCTAATTCTACGTGTCTTTAACCTGAATGCATTGGTCTAATAACAGCAACTGGTGATGATTATAATGAACGACATGATTTTTGGTCACTTGTAATAACACTTGTAAATCATTTTAAACAAAAACTAAAGAAATAAAACTCTTTATTTATTTTTCAGTATGAATTATCTAGAGGGTATTATCTATTTTGAGAAGGAATATCTCTGTTTGATCGAATGGAACTAATTCTTAAAGGATCTCCATTAGAACTGACATTTAATCGACTTTCTCATCATTGTAAAAACTTTGTAAATGCATGGTAAAATAGTACTGGATTATTCGATTTATTTTGTTTGAAGTTTTTTTCTAATTTAAAATAAAGATCAAAATCAAAGACCAAATTATAAAGAATGATTAGAAAATCCATTTTTACGGCAAGAAAAAGAGTCACAACAAACGGGATATATTGTTGCTTATTTATCTGATATAATTGATGGTCTTCAACAGAATACGGATAAATCTAAGAGATATTATTAATCTTTCTTCAACCTTTCGATGAATATACTTTATTTTTAATTTTTATTTGCATTTGAAATAGCCCTAAGGTACTATGACCTCAATTAATTTTATTCAAGAAATATTATTGTACTAAAATGTTGATTAGCAGATGTTGAATAGTATTAATTAGAAAAATGCCTGAACAGAATATTTATTGTTAATAACATGTTTTTAATACTCTTTCAATGAATGATTAACTCTTCTTTCGATCGAATGTTTTCTTCTTTGAAATTTATTGCACTGATTATAGTGATCAATATTCACTTTTTCGATTTTATGATGCTTTCTCGATTAAATTCGTTGCTTCTTTTTCGAGCTTCCTATTGTTTTCATTTTCAATGTATTTTATATGCATATAGCAAAATAAATATAAATGTCAAGTAAAAGAGTATGTTAGAATGTACACTAAAATACTACGTTATAAAATCAATAGTCAGAGTGAGTATTTTTCAACAGAATCGAAAATTGCTTGTGCATCCTTTTGTCATATTCTAAAAAAGAAAGAGAATAGCATATTTTCCTTTCAACTATGATTTCATGTGTCAGATCCTCGTCCGCTCTTTTTTCATAGCTATCATCGTAATAATAATCTATATGAGTCACAATATCAGTTTTCCCAGTACTCTTATTTCATTTAAAAAGCTGTGATAGAATTCATCGTTTCAATATTTGTGCCAGACAAAAGTAAGACAATTATCGCTTCACACGATTTTTCATTTTCATTAACAATTGAAGCAATGAGTGAAAGAATTCGTACTATAAATAATACTCTATTTTAACTGACACATAGTAATCAATAGCATGGATGAAAAAATGAAACATTACTTGAAGAAATAAAAGCAAAAGAACAGATGAAACGTGACAGTGTCAATGCCATATATTGAAGAATTTTTGCGAAATAACAGATGGGAATTATTCAAATTAGATGAAATAGCTGAAGCATCACTTCAAGTTGCTATTAAGAAAAATGATTCTTCTAGTGAAGATGAACAAATACATAGTTTTCGGCAATTTTTATCCATTGCAACTAATTTTTCTTCGTTACTGTTTGTTGAAAAACTACATAAAATACCAGAATTAGTAGATAGTATCAAAAAATTACTTAGAAGTATGATGAAAGAAGTTCAAGAATAGAGTGATATGACAGATGAACTTCGAAATCTTATTCAATGTTCTGTTCGAATCGTAATGCAAGCAAAACACAACATAAACATGAACTCAATTAAATCGATAAAAATTATATTCATCTTGCATTGAATCGAATATCAACTGGAATACAAAACTTACTCAATTTAGCTAAATCATCAACAACTGAAAGTCAGAACTTGGACAAACCAATACACAATATGACGAATTCAGTTCAATCAAAAAAGTTAACTTCGATGATTAGTTTTTCGAAAACGAAAATTATTCCAAATGCTATTACGAACTAATAGATAGTATTACAAAAACAGAAACATTATCTTATTCAATTAATTTCGAATATTTTGCTTTGTGTGTCAATTTGAGTTTTTTATATTTATACCAGAACATGAATTAGTTTAAAAAAATTAATTTTTTTCATTAGTGAGTTTTTCTGAATAAGATATCGAGTATCTTTCTTTCTTTTGTCATGAGCTCTTCACATAGAAACGGACGATGGGCTTATTTGAGTATGCATTCTCTAATGAACATACTTATCCAATAAGTACTCCTGAATTGTGACAGGTGGGTGCGGTGTGAGCAGTGTTTTATCCAGGATTTTTTCTCCGGAGGGGCGATTTGGAATTTCGGGGGGGGCGAAAAATTATTTTGGGGAAAGCAAGCCACGTGTTTTTAGTACGATGATCGCAAGTTTCGGGGGGGGGGGGGGGGCGCGGCCCCCCGGGCACCCGTCTGGATAAAACACTGGGTGTGAGTATCACTAGATAGACAATCCACATTCTCATGCATTTTTATGTTAATGAAAAATAAACGTATAAATGTGTGAGTCTTTCTTTTTTTTTTCTTATTATCAAATAGTTATTAATGATGATGATACAATTAATGTAACTATTATTAATTATGAATTAATTCATAAAAGTATTATTTCCATTGACAAAGCAACATATAAGAGAGATATGCCGAAAATTTCTAGAAAATATATTTGATTATTTGTCTCGTATTTAAATGTATTACAATCATATTGTTGTACACTTTTGCTAGAATACATTGAGTTTTTGCTATTGAGATATAAGTTAGTCTTATAAAGACTCAAGAATTTTTTTCAAAGAAGAAACTTCAAAAGAAAATTATTTTAGAGATGCTCTAAATTTTTATCAAATTATTGAGATATATTAAAGACTTTCATAAAGTCTACTGTACGACAGTAACGACTGTTTTAACTTTCGTCTTTTCAGTGCAAAATAACGTTCCATCACTATTCTAAAGTCGCAGAAAAATTCTAAGTATATATTCTGAAAGAGTACAAACTTCTAATTAGATGTAGTACTTTAACTTTACTTTAAACAAAAAACAATGGTAAACCAGAGTTTCTTTTTTCAACATTTGTATTTTATACATAGTAATGATATTGATCAATTATCAAAGTTCAAGAAACCGCTTTCGAGAATGAAGAATCCGAATTTTATTCTTTTGTAATATATTTAACTATGTAAAAAAAAAACAAAACACATAGTCAAACATTTTAAATAGAAACTTAATAATTTTGTGTATAAATTTCTTATTTTCGAATTGATATTTCAATACCATCATCTAAATCTTCTCGATATTCAATTTTTCCTTCATAAAATATTGATGTATAATTTGAATTATTTCGAACATATTCTAAATAATCTGGTGTACCTGGTTTAATAACATTATCTGCAACAATCATTGTACCAGATTTAATTAATCCAACATCTTCAAGCATTTTAAAATCACGTAAATAAACATCTTTGAAATGATCGATAAATATAAAATCAAATGAATTAATATTAAAATTTTTACTTAAATATGGAATAACATTATGTGTATAATCATTAATAATATTTATACGATTAGTTACACCAGCATATTCAAAAATAATACGAGCAATTTCAACGGATTGTAAATCAGCTTCAATTGTAATGAAAAGAACATTATCTGGTAATTGAGAAATAATTCTTAAAGAACTATAACCAAGAAAAGTACCTAAGATTAAATATCAATAGATTTTGTTTTTTTTAATTTATTTAAGATAAATATATATAAATACCAAGTTCAAGAATAGTTTTTGGTTTTCTTGTTTGAATAGCTTGATCAAGAATTTTTCCTTTTCGATCACCAATATTCATTAACCATTGTTTAGTCCAACCATATTGATCAATAGTATCAATTATATTTTGAATATCACCTTGACGAGCATTTTGTAAAACATAATCTTTTAAGTCTAAACGTGAATCCAACATTTTTTTCATTAATTCTTGAGAAAATTCTTCTGTAAATTTAATTACACTCATTTGAATGTTTGTTAATAAGTGATGAATTATTAAATAAAAATAATCGTCTTTTATTTTTTTATCATAATAACGTGACAAATGCGTATGTCATTGATGTTTTTTTTTGTTCTTTTCTTCTTGTTCTATTTTTGCGTGATATAATAATCTTTATTTGGATTGTATATTCTTATATGAAGGTTTCTTTTTTTTTCTTAATTTTAAAGTAATTTTTTGTAATTGAAAGTTGATTTCTTTCATTTTTATATGGTATTAATAAATATTAATTGAAATTCAATTTATTTCAAAAAATTCTTTTGTACATTTTATCAATCTTTCATAATAATAATACATATTTAATAAATTTTAAAGAAGATATAAGATAACATTCGAAATTGTAGGAAAATGTCGAAGAGGAAAAGATTGAATATTTTAAAGATCTCAGTAGAAAAATTCAGTTGTTTTATATTCTTATTGGTCACTCTTGCGACCAGCCTATATATATATCTTCATCGAGTAAAGCAGTGTTGTTCGGGTATTAATAATTGGCCGAAGCCGACGCCGAAGGCCGAAGTAGACTAATTCGTTGATTGGTTACTTTACTGACGTATATACAGAACGGACAAAAAGCGCCATCATATATATATCCAGAGGATAACTCAATTTATCCTTGAGGATAAGTCGACTTTACTTATTGTCCAGAAGACAAGTCGAGTTATTATGACAAAAGGATAAGTCGACTTGTCAAAATACAAATGAATTGGGTCTATATATTTGATCAAAAATTATTGTTCAGAGGATAAGTCGAGTTATCAAAAGGCAAATAAATTAGGTCTATGTATTAGATCAATAAAAATCATCTAGAGGATAAGTCGACTTATCCTTTTGTGATAATAACTCGACTTGTCCTCTGGACAATAAGTAAAGTCGACTTATCCTGAAGGATAAATCGAGTTATTCTCTGGATATATATATGATGGCGCTTTTTGTCCGTTCTGCATATACGTCAGCAAAGTAGCCAATCAACGAATTAGTCTACTTCGGCCTTCGGC